ATCTGGTGTCACCGAAACTGAGCTTTCAACCTGTGGTTCTCCTACCTTATCATCTCAAGAGTACAGGGATCACAGCATGCACCACCATGCCTAGCTGGCTTTATAATTTAAAAATGCTACTTCCTCTAAAGTCTTCTGAAAAGGAAGTCAAGTGACGTATCAGAAAAACACACACACAGTATACAATGTAGGCTAAATGTAGGTATCTAGAATGAAATGTTGGTTTTCAAGTACATCTGAAGATTTAAAAATTTTTTTCATTTCTCTTGTTTATCTCATATTCTGCTGTATTTCAAGGTAAATAAAATATAGTGATACTTTTATTTAACTAAAAGGCCTTAAATGCCAATAATATTTTGTGAATATTTATAATAGTGTCTTTAAGACAAACAAAACAACCCATATATAAATGTAGAGGGATCAGATCCTGCTGAAAACCACAGTGAAAGCAGACTGAATGACGAAGTGCCTTCCCCTAGTAGCTTTGATCTGGAGGGGGCTTGCTGGTGTCCCACAGGCCGTGTGTGGAAACCTGGTCTCAGTGCAGTCATGGAAGAGAAGTGTGACCTTTAAGGGCTGAGGCCTAGCCATGAAATGGAAACACCTGAACGTCTACCTACTGACAGCAGAGAAAGAAAATGTGGTACATGTATATGACAGAGCCATAAAAAAGAAGAAAACCCTTTCATCATTAGTGACATGGGTGAAAGTGAAGGTAAGCACAGAAAGATAAGTCCTGTGTGATTTCAGTCATATTTTAAATATAAAAAGGTTAATCTCATAGAAGTGGAAAGGAGAATGGTGGTTCTAGAGGTGGGACAAATAGGGGGAAGAGAGAGATAGGAAGAGACTGGTTGATGGCTACTCAGTTTCATGGGAACAAGAAGATGTGCCATGCTACTGCATAGTTGGGCATTTGCACATTATAATTATGCAGTGTATATCTGAAAAGGCTAGGTTGATAAAAAAGCCAAAAAAAGTTTTGAATTTTAAAGAGAGGCAACTTTTCTGCATTTTTTTTTTTTTTTTTTTTTTTTTTTTGGTAGCAGGGATAGAACTCAGGACCTCGTGCTTGAGAGGCAGGTACCGTGACGGTGAGCTAAATCCCTGGCCCACACCATTATAATTTTAACTATACTTCCTATATGCATAGTAACAGGTATAACATTAATCATCACTACAAATACTAACATAACACCACCATCCCCAAGTACACTACCGTTCTGCTAAAAGTAAAATTCTTCATCAGTCTATGTCTAATCAGTGTTCTCCATAGGAAAGCATTATTCCACAGCAAAATTTTACTAAGACAAAGCAAATAACATTTGTTGTTCCTTAATTTATTCCACTAGCCCCAGCTTGATATAAATCACATTAACTATAAAAGACTAGCATTAGTTATAGGAACCTGATCAAAAAGCATTCAGAAATATTGTTATGGTGGCACCTTCTTTAGCCCTTATTACGAGAGCGCCTCAATTTTGTGTTGCGACTACTAAGTACACAGCACACATTTAGAAGAGGTTAAGTGACAGGCTACTCCCAGAGACCATGAATGAATGCTACTGTTCAGCCATCCAAACAGCAGCCCCTGAAATTTCAAATGCTTCCTGTAGCAGCCTGCTCTGAGCTTTGTACATTGAGAAAACCAGACATTCACTAATGAACTAGGGGAATACAGCCCACAAGGACCAAGCCTATGAGGTATTTGTGTCTTCTTCACTTTGAATTCCACTAAACTAGAAATGTCTAGGTTTGCAACCTGTCTCTTAGCCACTAATGCTCTATGGTAGCATCCTTCAAAGCCATTTTTAAAATTGTACACATAAAAAACCATGTCCCTCACTTTGAAAAGCAAAATACAGAAAGTTCACTGAATGCATAAGGTTTTGCCAAGCTTTTTCAGTCGCACAACTGCAGGGAACCAAAACACCCTATATTTAAACCCAAAACACACAAAGGAAGTTGAGGAAAGTAAAAACCATGCACTCATTAGGCCCAGGTTCTCCCGCCTAAGCCAGGCACTGCCTCGTGATGCAGAATTGACAAAAAGAGAGATGTGGCTTGGCCTACTAATTTTAGTCTAAATGTAAAAAAAAGAAAAATGAGTGAATTTTCAAACAAATAAATGAGTGACCTTGCTTATTTTTCTTTTTCAAATCAGAGCCTTCCAAATTCTGAATGTAGTCCATGTTAGGAAGCTTTGGCACAGTTGGCATAGTAATTTTAATTGGGGTGCTCGCTTCTGGAATGATACACAAAGATTAGCATGGTCCCTACGCAGGGAGGACACACAAATTTGTGCAACGTTCCACATTTCTGACATGCGATGAAGAGGTGGAGATCTTAGAAGAAGCGAACCAGAACCTTACTGTGTTCTCTGGCCTCAAGTCTGGCCTACAGCACCTTCTGAAGCCCCTGGAGAGCAAGAGCGCAGGCTCAGAAGTGGCCGGGGACAGGTCGCAGAAGCTCAGGTGCTATCAAGCTATGAACAGCTACGAGGTGGGGCTCCCCACCCAGTTCTCGGGCCTGGGCTGGATCATGCAGTGCTTCCAGATCCACAGCTCTACAGGCCGCCATAGCCCACCTGCAGCTCAGAGTCTACAGCAACAAGACTGTGCACTTCGAAGTAAGAGGGTTTGCCATACGTGCAGGAGGTTCTACCTGTGCCCAGCCGCCCTGGGCCTCTGGAGCTTCACTTGCAGCCAGCACTACTCGGAGGTGGAGGTGGGCACCAAGCCCAAGTGGGCGCTGGCTGGGTGCCTACCCCGCACCTGGCACAATGAGCTGACCACGTGCCACGGCTTCTGGGCCCTCGGGCACTGCATGGAGAGCAGCTACTTTGCCTTCAGCCCCCAGAAACCCCAGATCATATCAAAAGTGAGGACAAGCAAGATCAGAGTCCTCCTTGACTATGAGCTGAGTGACATTTCTTTCTACAATGTGAATGGTGGGGCCTTGCTCTACACTTTCCATCACGGTTCCACCAAAACCATCTGGCCTTCTGTACTGGAAGAGAACCTGAGCCTCTTAAAACTGGTCAGAATCAGATGATGAAACAAAGAACCTGTTAATCATTGTGATTTAGTCTTCAGGACCAAACAAACTTGATCTCCTTTCCAGAAGTTTTGTTGTTTCACCACACAATCCATGGAAAACAGTAAGAGGATTTTTGGTTGACAGAGGCTATGAGGGATGTACAGGCAGAGCACACCAGATCTTTAAGGCCGTGAAGCTGTTCTGTATAATAATGTATCTGTAACACATGTTATGCATTTGTCAAAACCAACAGAATGTGCAATACCCAGAGTGAATTCCAAGGTAAACTGGAAGCCGGTCGATAACAATGTGTCAACACAGTTGACTGTAACAAATTTACCATTATCAATCACTCTGTACAGACTACTCAATTACCCTACGAAACTAAAAGTTCTCTAAAAAATAAGTCTATTAAAATGGGTCAGGGTCTGAAAAAGAAACGTTTCAAGGAAGATAATCACAAAAAGATCCTGCTTCAAACCAAGGGATGGCTTTTAAAAGAGAAAAAGGAAAAGCAAGTGTTGTTAAAAATATGAAAAATCAGAAATTTTATACATTACTCGGGGAACATAAGATGGTGCAGTCATTGTGTAAAACAATTTGGTAGTTTCTTAAGAAATAATTTGAGGGCCGGGGATTTAGCTCAGTGGTTTGGTGGCCTGCCT